ATCTGGTATCTTTTATTAGACCAACTCAAATAGTTGGTAAGAATTCTTCTTTGCAAGCTTTTGGGCACAAACACCCTTCGTCAGGCAAAACTTCCACTGACTTTAGTGGTGCCAGACTAAGACCCTGAAGACTTAAAATTTCACTTCTCCTGAAAGAATACCTGGGGAGGTGGGGTGCAACAAGGGTTGGGGGTTGACTTGGCTTTTTTGTAGGAAATCAGTGTTATTCAGTGGAATTCCTTCTGCAGGAAGGCAGCCCTCAGTTAGGACACATGGAATGTGCTTTGATTTATGACTGAGTTGAGGTTTGTTAGCAGACTTGTGCAGATGTGCAGGTTTTAAAATAGTCATGCGTGGTGTTTCCGCTGGATCACCTGCTTCAACATGCAGAGCCAGAGCAGCTACAGTGGTCAGTTCCCTGAAAATTTTGCCCATCTTCACTTGTATGTACTTATGTGGACCTTCCAAATACTGTAGTTAGGATCAAATTCCAGTCTCAGAATCTACTGAGAATTCTGTCGATCTCTCTGTCTGGTCTTTAACAGTGTTGCTACCTCTGATTTTTCCCTGGTGCAATTGAGATGAGAATCTGTTCTTTAAATGCTAAAATAAATATATAGAAAACTTCATGCCAACTTGATCCATCAAATGTGGAATGTAGATCCTCCTGCTATGGGTCCCTCTTTTAAATTGGAGTCTGAAGGGTGAATGAAAGGTGTTAAAAGGGGCAGGATTTGAAAACATTACTAAAGGGGTGGATTGGTGTTATTGGCTGTCAGTCACATTTCCTGGGAGTCTTTTGGACCAAATAGGTCACTGTAGTTTGACAACCCAATTCAAATTGTCTGGACAGGGGGCTTCAAGGAAGCTAGTGAGCAGATAACTAACTGATTTCTCTTGGTATAAAGCTTTTCTCTGCTGGTATAAAAGGTTATCATCTTTTCTTTGCCAGTATAAAAGGTTAACACCTAGTTGCAAATTTCAGAATAGAAGCAAGCACTGAAATGTCTTAAAGTGCAGGGCTGTTTGGTGTCCCAGCATTCATCTGTGCTTCCTTCTAATTCAGTCCAACAAAAGCCCAGCAATGGATTAGTGAAACCTCCATTTAGGACATGTGTTTCACTCAGACTGTGAGGTGCTGTAGCTCTGGCCTCTAATTTCCTGTCTCTTTTTCCTTCTCTCTTCTAAAGTTTTCTTCATCATTCTTCAGAGTCCTGCTAGCAGAGAGAGACAAAGTGGAAGCAGCCACTGGATTTGCCTGGGGCAGGTGATGGGGTCGTGGAGTCTG